TGGAAGAGAGTCAGAGACAGGGACACAGACAAGATGGACAGAGAGACTGAGTCAGAGAGAGACAAAGGGACAGAGAAAGACAGAAAAGACAGACAGAAATTAAATTTCATGTATCTCTTCTTCGTGGTTAGAGTGATTTTGACATCAACTCTGACATGTAAGATGGATTCCTGTGTTCAGAACGGAGGTTAGACGATCACGTTTTACTAGAATACATTTATTGGAAGTAACCCTCACCTACCCACATGGATGAGGATAAATATCCCGAAATGACTTAAGAATAATCCACCTTGGGCTGGGAGTGTGGCCTGTGTGTGTGTGTGTGTGTGTGTATGTGTGTGCGTGTGTGTGTGCGTGCGCGCATGTGTGTGTGTGCGCGTGCACACATGTGTGTTTTTCCTGGGGTTTGAACTCAGAGCGTGGACGCTGTCCTGAGCTTTTGTGGTCAAGGCTACCATTGGAACCAGAGCTCCCCTTCTAGCAGTTTAACTGCAAGTAAGCGTCTTAGGAACTTCCCTGCCCCTCTGTGTGTACGTACGTAGTGAGACTTGAACTCAGAGCCTGGACACTCTCCCTTGGCCTTTGTACTGAGGACAGGTCCTACTTCTTGAGCCACAGCAGCACTTCCGACTTGCTGCTGATAGTTTAGACAGGAACCTCATACACTTTTCTGCATACACTTGTGACTTCCAACTACGGCGTGAGTCGCGGGTGTCAGGCTATACTAGAAACTCTTGGTCCCATTTCTTGACTGTCATCTGAATGTTGCTTAACCCTGATCGCTTTGGGATTCGTCTGATTTTCCTTAGGAAATCTGCTTTTCAGGTTTTTTGTATACCTTGATGTGTGTAAATTCATCTTTACCTTTGGAGGGTTTCAGGTGCACGTGTCCGTTGGGAAGGACCATGTGTCCTGATCCATGTCCCGCCTCCCATCATTGTCCCCCAACTCTGCCCCCACCACCCCTCCCCTCGAGATCTCTGGGCGGTGAGTGTCATGGTTGTGTTTGCCTCTTCCTCTCCCCTCGAGATCTCTGGGCAGTGAGTGTCATGGTTGTGTTTGCCTCTTCCTCTCTCCGTCCATCTGCCCCCTCTCCAAGGTCCCTCCCACCCCAAGTCATGCTCCAGCATCCTGGTGACCATAAGCTCACTGTTCAATGGACTCACACCACTGAAATCATCCCATGCACATTCATTTGTTCTCATGGAAAGTAATGTTTTTTTAAAGTCAATAAAATAGCAGCTGCTTTAGAAAGGCAGATAGTAAAACTATAAACTAAAACAGCCTCTACACAAGAACTTCTAAAATACAGACAGGAAAAACAACTGTGGGTCAGTCTCTGAGGGCTCACGCCTTTAATCCCAGCTCCTCGGGAGGCTGAGATCTGAGGATTGAGGTTCAAAGCCAGCCCAGGCAGGAAAGTCCATGAGATTCCCAAGTGGCCCTGTGGCTCAAAGTGGTAGAACGGTAGCCTTGAGCAAAAGAGCTCAGGAACAGCGCCCAGGCACCGAGTTCAAGGCCCACAAACGACCAAACGAAAATAAAAGCATCTTAGAAATAGGATTAATGCCTCTTTTTGGTTTGCTCTGTTGTTGTTGTTGTTGGCCGTTTTTATGCCAGTGCGAGGTTTTGAACACTGGAACCAGGGTCTCTCCCTGACAGGTTTGTGCTCAAGGCTGGCATTGTACGACTTCAGCCACAGATCTACCTCCAGCTTTTGCGTGGTTCACTGGAGATGAGTCTCACAGACTTTTTTCTGCCCTAGCTGGCTGAGAACCACCATCCTCAGATCTCAGCCTCCTGAGTCACTAAAATTACAGGAATGAGCCACTGGCACCCGGTTCATCTTATTTTTTTCCACTCGGTCTGGATGCTGTCCCCCGAGCTTCTTTTGCTCAAAGTAGTGCTGTAAAACTTGGAGGCTCCCAGTTCAAAGCAACCAAGGCAGATAAAGTCGTCCAAACCCTACTCTAGCTAACCAGAGAAATGCAGGCCTAGAGGCCTGGCTCAAGTAGTAGAGCACCATCCTAGAGCAAGAAAGTACAGCCAGAGCAGATGGGCTTGAATTCAAACCCCAGAACCAGCAGAAACACAGCAAACTGAGCTTCTGCAGAACGCATGTGTAGAGATAAGAAAGAGGAAGAGAGGCTGGTGAAGAGAAATGTTTCCTCTGCCACCGTCACGCAGTCCTGCTGGAGATCCCCGATGAGGAGCTGATCAGCTCAGCTGTGTTAGACACAGGGTCGGCTGGGGAAGGGCGGCGGCTGCTGCTCCCAAAGCCTCAGTGTCCACCTTCCGTCCAGCATCCAACAGTCAACTCTGCCTTTTCCAACAACAGCATTTCATTCCACCTGCTTCCCACCTCCCTCCATGTCGGAAGAAGAAATTATATACGCGGATCTAAACTTCCAGAACTCGGGAAAGACGGAGAAGATCCAGGAGTTGGACCCAGTGGAGACAAAAGGTACGAATGTGGAGTTGGGAGTGTGTGGTACGGTGGGCGGTGGTTAGTAGCCACTTTGAATGTTTAATTACGCCTCCCCAAATGCTTCTAGCTCTTTTATTCAAGCCCTGGATTTGTGAAATCACACAACAACCATTACTTGTAAGTGTTCTACTTTTGAATATTACGATCAAGGTAGAGGAAAGTGCTTGGAAATTGTACAAAGTGTCCACTTCTGTGGCTCACGATTACATGTTGTCCAGGAAAGCCATCTTTGGATGTATTTTGTGATTTTTCACTTGATTTTGTAAGAGAGAGAGAAGAGGGACACTGGAAAGGTCTGAAGAGAGACAGGGGACAGACAGAGATGGATAGAGAGATAGAGACTGCGGCCGAGAGAAAGAAAGAGACTGAAAAAGACATAAAGAAGTGGACAGACAGGGACAGAGAAAGACAGACAGATGGACATAGGGACAGAGGCACATAAGGAGAGATGGACACAAAGAGACAGAGGGTCTGAGAGACAGAGGTACGAGGGACAGACAAAGCCAAAGACAGAGGTAGCGAGACAGACAGACAGACAGACAGACAGACAGACAGGGGGACAGACAGAGGGACAGAGCAATGAAGAAAGAGATCTGATATTTTTACTGTCCGTAATTTTCTCTCCAGTGCTGATTTGAATTATCCAAAGGATCCAAGCCGTGTGACTGTGAGTGTGATTGTGTGTTTGTGTGTGTGCGCATTGTACAATGCACCCCTGCGGCACACATGAGCACATGCACATGCGTTTGCCAGTGTTTGCCACTGCTGGGCTTGAACTCAAGGCCAGAAGCTCTCACTTGAGTTTTTCCGCTCAAGGCTGGCGCTCTACCGCTCGAGCCACAGCTCCACTTCTATTGTTTTTGCTGGTTCATTGGAAATAAAATGTCTCATGGACCTTCTTGTCTGGGCTGGCTTTGTCTCACGATCCTCTGATCTCAGCCTCCTGAGTACCCGAGATTACAGGCGTGAGCTACCAGTGCCTGGCCTAAAAGCAACTCTTGAATTTATCATTCTGACCTAAGTGAAAATCTTGACTTTCTCATTCTTTTCCGTGAAGGTCATTTTCCTCCATCGAAAGAAATGAAGTTTCATAATCGTTTTTCAGTTCTGTCTGGTTACAGTGACTTCGGTATCAACTGTGAGGTCTAAGAAGGATTACCTGGTGGTTACTCTACCATGTTACTAGAACACAACGACTTCAGGATATCCTAGCAGTGAAAAGCAGCATCTGCTGTGGTTAGATTGGTTGATGGTCGCCATTCTAACGGGGGTGAGGTGGTGGCTCCATGCTGTGTTGATTTGCATTTCTTTCATGGCCAGAGAAGCTGAGCAAGGCTTCCTGTCTCTGTGGGCCATTCTTCTTTCCTCTCTTCTTTACTTCCAGCTTGGCCAGAGGAGGCCTATGGCTTGAAGACCAGCCTTTCTCCTGCCTCAATACCATCTGCTTCTCTCTCTCTCCTTCGCTGCCAATTTAATTTACGTCATAGTTAGCCCACTTATGAATGGGGCAGTTGTTTCTTTGAGGATTTGTTTTTTGGGGGGTTTAATTTTTGGAGTTCTAAGCGCAGAGCATCTTGATCAGTGGATATCTTTTCTGTGACCTAGGGTGTCTAACGAAGTCTTTTACAGGTTGCATAGCAGGAAAGGAAGAAAAGCAAAATGAAGGAATGAATGGCATTGTAGGAATGAATGGAGCTGAACGCTGTTTTTCTCTTCTGTGATCCACAGCGCCTCCGGTGTCTTCCCATGTGTGCGTTGGAGCAGCTTTGGGTCTGACTCTCCTCTCCCTTCTACTGCTCTTCATTGGACTAGGAATCTTGGGGGGCCTGAGTACGTATCACCCAGTGTTTGTGTGTGCTGCTGGTCCTGGGGCTTGAACTCAGGGCCTGGCACTGTCCCTGAGCTTTCTCACGCAAGACTAGCGCTGTACCACTTGAGCCTCAGCTCCACTCCCAGTTTGCTGGTGGTTCATTGGAGGTGAGGGTCTCAGGGACTTTCCTGCCCAGGCTGGCTTCCAACTGGGATCCTCAGATCTCAGCCTCCTGAGCGGCTGGGATGACAGGCGAGAGCCATCGGCACCTGGCTCAGAGCCTAGCGCTCCTGCCCAGCTGTTAGTCCTCACAGTTGTCTTTCTACCACTAAAGCATGTCTCCTCGTCCCCCTTTGGTCTTTTTTTAGTATTCCTTGTTAAAAAAAACAACTTTTGAGGTCATGACATTAAGGGTTTACAATGTCTTTTTTGATTGTCTTTCTCCTCTTAATGTGGAGTTTATAAAAAGCAAAATGTCCAAGAAGAACGTCAGACAAATGTGTTTCTACAACAAGTGGATAACTTCAATTGTTCTGAGAAGATCCAGAATGTCTCCATCGCCCTGCAAACCCTGGCCACCCGGCTGTGTCGTGAGCTCCAGGAAAAAGAGCCAGGTAATTCTGCAGGGCCCTGAGGGCGGCTTATGGGACCCGGAAGGAAAGCTCAGAGTCTTACCCCACACCTCACCGCGTGCAGGCTGACGGGTCCTGTCCCTCAGCCTTTTAGTTCTAGGCTCAATGGAGCTCAGCCAGCTGAGCCACAGCTGCACTTCCAGCCTATGGATGGTTCTGTGGGCCTGAGAGTCTCACGGACCTTCCCGCCTGGGCTGGCTTCGAACCTTGATCCCCTCAGCTCAACCTCCTGAATAGCTGGGATGACAGACCTGAGCACCTGGCGCCCGGCTACACCCACTGAATAAGGAAGGAATGAAGCCTAATGCATGCATTGCTGACAGCTCCACATAGCTAAAAGACAATCCTAATAGAGTTATAACTACACAACCCCCAATGCCCAGGAACAATGTTTATGCAAGTGTGTTAAGGCTGGGAGCCAGTGGCATATCCCTGTAATCCCAGCTACTCGGGAGGCTGAGATCTAAAGGATCCCAGTTCAAAGCCGGGCTGGGCAGGAAGGTCCATGAGAGTATTATCTCCAATAAACCACTCAGAAAAATGGAACTGGCGCTGTAGTTCACGTGGTAGAGCGCTCACCTTAAGTTGAAGAGCTCCGGGACAGTGCCCAGGCCCAGAGTTAAAGCCCCAGGACTGAAAAAAAAAAGAGTATTAAGACTATAAGCATTTTCTTTATTCTGCAGTTTTACTAAGGTTTAATTAGATCAAAGTCTCTAGTCGGAATTTATGTTTTAAAGATTTTTTTAATATTACAATAAAGGTTGTATAAAATCTCAATTTGTTATTAGGATTAATAAATGATAGATAGGAAAACACACTTCTCTATAGATGGCCTCAGTTCAAAATTTCAGCCAGTAGAAGCCGGGCGCTGGTGGCTCACGCCTGTCATCCTGGCTACTGAAGAGGCTGAGTTCTGAGGATCATGGTTCAAAGCCGACCCATGCAGGAAAGTCTGTGAAACTCTTCTCTCCAGTTAATCAGCAAAAAGCCAGAAGTGGAGTTGAGGCTCCAATGGTAGAGGATCAGCTTTGAGTGAAGTAGCTAAGGAAGAGCAGGAGATCCTGAGTTCAAGCCCCAGAACTGCACAAAATGAGATAAAATAAAATAATGACCTGAAGAAAACACAGTGAACTGGGTCCATGTCCCATAGAGATGACAGGAAATGGCAAGAGGCTGAAGATCTATTCAATAAAAGGACGCTTTCCTTCCAGGGCACAAATGTAAACCTTGTCCACCAAACTGGCTGTGGCACGCAAATAGATGTTATCTTCCATATCATATTTATACCACGTGGCAAAACAGCAAAAGGTCATGTGCTGACCGCAATGCCAGCCTGCTGAAGATTAACAACAAGGATACACTGGTACGTCTCCGAGTCTCTCCTTCCGTAAGAAAGGAAATCGCATTTCCTATGACAGAGTAAGAAGAGTCTGCTAAGCGCTGGTGGCTCACGCCTGTGATCCATCTACCCAGGAGGCTGAGATCCAAGGACTGAGATTCAGAGCATCCTGTGCAGAAAGTCCATGAGACTCTGATTCCCAATGAACCACCAGAAAACTGGAGATGGTGCTGTGGCTCACGTGGTAGAGCACCAGCCTTGAGAAAAAGAAGCTCAGGGTTAGTGCCCAGGCCCTGAGTTCAAGATCCAGGAGTGGAAAGTTTTTTCATCCTTTCTAGAAGAAGGGAAATAATGTGTTGTGTCTTTCTCATTGGATCTTGCTTACCTGGTTCACTGACAGTTACTGACTCCACAAAATATAGTTCAGTGAGAAATAAGAACAAAATATGAGTTCTATGGCTTACAAAATGACCTGTTCTGACTTCACTAGATTGATTTGCTTTCCTATACTTACTTTCCTTTTTACCTTCTCTTTCCTTCCTTCCCTCCTTCCCTCCTTCCCTCCTTCCCTCCTTCCTTCCTTCCTTCCTTCCTTCCCTCCTTCCTTCCTTCCTTCCTTCTTCCTTCTTCTATGTCTCATTCTTCTTTTCATGCCAGACCTGGGAACTGAACTCAGAGCCATGAGTACCACTTGAGCACACACACACACACACACACACACACACACACACGCGCGCGCGCACACACAAGCAATTTTGAAAGCAACGTTTAAAAACAATAATTTGAAATGCAGACATATGTTCACAAATAATTATATTTGTGCCAGTCCTGGGGCCTGAATTCAGGGTTGGGCACTGTCCTGAGCTTTTTCCCTCCATGATCACACTCCGTAGCTTGAGCCACAGCTCCACTTCTGCTTTGTGTGTGGTTTTTGGTGGTTCCCAGAGATAAGAGTCTCATGGGCCAGGCGCCGGTGGCTCACGCCTGTCATCCCTGCGACTCAGGAGGCTGAGATCTGAGGACCGCGGTTCAAAGCCAGCCTGGGCAGGAAAGTCTGTGAGACTCTGATCTCCAATAAATCACTAGAAAAACAAAAGTGGCTCTGTGGCTCAAGTGGTAGAGTGCTCGCCTTGAGCTGAGGAGTTGAGGGACAGTACCCAGGCCCAGAGTTCAAGCCCCGCAACCGACCAAAAAAAAAAGAAAAGAGTCTCATGGATTTCCCACCCTGGCTAGCTGTGAATCGAGATACTCAGATCTCAGACTCCAGAGGAGTTAGAATTACAGGTGTGAGTCACTAGTACCAGCCAGAGAAAACTTTGTGCACAAAGCATCTCTGTTTCTTAGGAGTTTGTAAAGTCCCGGCAATTATTCCACTATTGGCTTGGAGCATCTCCTAGACATTATCAAACAAACTCTATGACAGTGGATCAGAGTGCTGCTTCTTCTATTTGGTAAGTTTCTATTTTTTCTCTTATTGTTTTAAGTCCATTTCCTTTAAGCTGTGTTTTCCGCAGGACGACTGTAGACTGGTGAAATACCCTTACACGCAGCTGCTGGGTCAGGCCTCTGTAATAGTTTTAATCATGCATAAAATGTTCCCATAGCCAGGGGCTGGTGGTCACGCCTGGAATCCCAGCTACTCAGGAAGCTGAGATCTGAGGATTCCGATTCAAAGCCAGCTCTGACGTAAAAGTCCATGAGACATTTATCTCAATTAACTACCACAAAAATGCTACAAGTGGAGCCGAGGCTCAAGTGGTAGAGCCCTAGCCTTCAGCAAAAGTCCTGCTCTAGTGTCCAGGCCCCAACTTCAACACCCAGTACAAATGCACACATAGCAATCACAGACGCCCTGATTTTGTCAAGTCATCATGCAGACTTTCTTTTCTTTCTCTGGCTTTCTCGGGGCTTGGCCGCAGGGCCTGGTGCTGTCCTGGGCTTTTTATCTCCAGGCTAGCGCTCTACCACGGGAGCCACAGCGCCACGTCTGACTTCTTGGCTTGATTTCATTAGATGTAAAAGTCTCACGGCCTCTCCTCCTGGGTGACTTTGAACCCAGGTCCTCAGGTCTCAGTTCCCTGAGTAACACAGAAGCTCAGGACGACGCCATCCTAAGAGTCAACGTCCATCTGTGAAAATGGAAACAGAGAATGTGAGAGGAGGGGGGGTATGGGGGGAAGGATGAGGGGTGAGATGATCCGCATGCATGGCGTCAGAGCCTGACAGGCTGAAGGGAAATCCCCTGCACCACCAAGGATCTTATTTTCCTTAGGAAATGCCGACTGTGGGCGCCATACTGTCAGGAAGCACAGGTCGTGTGTGTGTCTACTTCAAATATGTGAGCTCTTAAGTACTTTCCTGCTTTTCCTCTTCAGGTTGAAGAACAAGCCCAGTGCCTTCAATGGAATGTATTGTGCATATATGACATCAGACATGCGCATTGCTTATGATAATTGTTTGGCATCCAGATATGCAATGTGTGAGAAAATGGCTGGTCCAGTGCGGGTAGAAAGTGTGCTAGGTTAAAGTTCACGATGAAAGGCTGTACTTGGTAAAGAAGTCCTTGGCTTGAGATGCTGTCCTGCACTGGGAAGGATCTAGATGTCAGCGTGTGTCTCCTGGATCACACAAATGGAATAAAAAAACGATGACCAGATTTCTGCCTCTCTGCACATTTGGATCTTCTAGTATTTATCTTGCTCCTCATCTGCTGAGGGTAGGAAGCTAACTCCTTGCCAGGCACCAGCGGCTCACTCCCGTAATCCCAGCGACTCAGGAGGCTGAGATGTGAGGGTGAAGGTTCCAGGTCAGTCCCCGTAGGACAGGTGGTGAGGATCTGATGTCCAATGAACCAGCAAACAGCTGGACGTGGAGCTGTGGCTCACGTGACAGAGTGCCAGCCTTGAGTGTAGAAAGCTCAGGAATAGGAGCTAGGCCCTGAGTTCAAGCCCCAGGACCTGCACATACAAAAGCAAGTCAGTCATGGCTGAACCTCGAACAGCAGTGCATCTTCTGTTCAGCATTAGGACAGCGTTTCTTCTGAAATCTAGAATTGTCTTCCGCTGTATTTATTGTCGGTGGCCGTGGAGCATGAACTCAGGGCCTGGGCGCTGTCCCTGAGCTCTGTCACTCACGGCTGATGCTCTGCCACGTTGAGCCACAGCGCCATTTCTGATCTGAGGTGGTTCATGGGAGATCAGAGTCTCATGGGCTTTTCTGTCCAGGCTGGCCTCCAACCCTGATCCTCAGATCTCAGCCTCCTGAGAGGCTGGGATGACAGGTGTGAGTCACTGCACTTGACTGGGACCCTAGTGCTCCTGTCAGCTCTGTCCTTCACAGTTGGTGTTCTATCACGTAAGCCGCGCCTCCGGTTCCCCTTGGGTCTTTTTTAGTATTCCTTGTACCAAACAGCTTTGACGGTCATGACGTTAAAGGCTTACAAGTGTCTTTGGGATTCTCTCTCTCTCTGCCTTGATTTGAGTTTATAAACAACAAAATTTCCAAGAAGAACTTCAGAGACATGTGTGCTGACACCAAATGGGTAAACGAAATTGTTCAGAGAAGATCCAGAACCTCTGTCCTATGGCAAACACCGCCAGCCAGGGTTATCTCCAAACAACCACCGGAAAACCAGAAATGGAGCTGTGACCCAACGTGGTAGAGCGCTAACCTTGAGCGAAAGAGCTCAGGGACAGGGGCTGGGAAGGTGGCTCAGTGGCAGAGCGCTTGCCTTGCATGCCTGAGGCCCTGGGTTCGATTCCTCAGCACCACATAAGCAAAAGGAAAAAAGCCGGAAGTGGCGCTGTGGCTCAAGTGGTAGAGCACTAGCCTTGAGCTGAAGAGCTGAGGGACAGCGCCCAGGCCCAGAGTTCAGGCCCCATGACCGGACCCCCCCCAAAAAAAAAGAGCTCAGGGACAGTGCCTGAGCCCTGAGTTCAGGACACAGGACCAGCACACACACACACACACAGACACACACACACAGACACACACACATATAGACACACACAAAGAATCTCAATATCCTTATTCTATCAAGTCACTAACAGTATCCTAATTATAGAGACTTTCTTTTCTTAGTATGCTTTTCCCAGGGCTTGAACTCAGGACACAGGTGCTGTCCTGAGCTCAAGGCTAGCGCTCTACCACTTGAGCCACAGGTCCACTTCTGCCTTTTTTGCTTGATTTAATTATTCGTGAAAGTCTCATAGCCTTTTCCGTCTGGGTGACTTTGTTTTTGTTTTTGTTGTGGTTGTTGTTTTGTGTTAGTCGTGGAACTTAAACTCTGGTACTGGGCCCAGGCCCTGAGTTCTTCAGCTCAAGGCGAGCACTCTACCACTTGAGCCAAGGCACCAATTCTGCTTTTTTTGTGGTTGATTGCACATAAGAGTCTCATGGAATTTCCTGCCTGGGCTGAATTGAACCGTGATCCTCAGATCTCAGCCTCCTGAGTAGTTAGGATTACAGGTGTGAGCCACTGGTGCCCGGCTCATGGTGTGTTTCCTGAAGGCACAAGATAGAAGGAGCTTGCTTTTTGATTCAACTAGGCAATCTATGAAGCTTAATTGGAGAGTGAATTCCATTAACATTGACAGTTAGGACTGAGAGGTAGTTGGTAGATCCACCTTCCTGGGGGCTGTGCCGACTGGGTTCTAAGTATGATTCTTGGGTTCTCTATTTAGGGCTGTTTTTTGGCCTTTATCATGCTCTTCTCGGTTTTCTATGTGTAGGACATCTGTAAGTGTCTTTTGTGGGGCTTGTTCAGTGGAGATATAGTGTTTCAAATTTTCTTTGCTGTGGAAGGTTTGTATTTGTCCTTCCATTATGAAGGATAGTTTAGCTGGGTACAGTATTTTTGGTTGATAGTGTTTGTCTTTAGGATGTGGCATACATATTCCAGGCTCTTCTTCTTTCATTGTCACTGCTGAGAAATTGGAATTATAATCTGATTGGTTTCCCTTTGTAAGTGATTGATCTTTTCTCTTTGACAGCTTTAAGGATCTTTTCCTTGGTCTGAATTGATCCTGTGTGGATTACAATGTGACAGTGAGATATATTGTTCTGGTCTGGTCTATTAGGGGCTCTAAACACTTCTTATATATGAATGGGCCTATCTTTTTGCAAGTTTGGGAAGTTCTCTGCTAGGATCCTGTTAAATAAAAATTCTAGACCTTTAACTTCTATCTCTAGGCCCTCCTCTATACCCATTAGCCTTAAATTAGGCCTTCTTATGGTATTTCTAAATATTGAATAGATATATCATATTTCTTGGGCATGTCTTGAATACTTATCTGTTCTTTCTCTATGATGTCTAAGTTGTCTTCAATCCCAGAGATTTGATCTTCTCCATGGTTTAACATCCTGTTAAGACTTTCTACTGTTTTTTTCTTTCCTTCTAATTGGTCAGATTTGATAGTTTAAAATTCTTTGTTGGAGCTTTGTTTTAACTTTTGTATGTGCAGGGAGCCGGGACAAACGCCATCACAAGATGGCACCCACTTCCTTGCAGCTTAGAGGTAAACAACTCCACGTTAGGCAGTGCTTGGGGGGACTGCGGGTCCCTAGCTTTGCACATGCACCACCATTGTAAATCCTGAGCCAATCCCGTGGCACCTGGTGACGGTAGAAGGCGGACAGCCAATCCTGAAGCGATCCGTGTTCCAAACCCTATATAAGCGGCTGTATTTCCTTGCTTGCTCTCTTGCGCTCAAGCTCTCCCTTCAACTAAAAGGCTCTCCAATAAAGTGTGATCTGAGAAGACTCCTGGTGTGGTGGTCGTTCTTCCTCGCTGGCCGAGAAGGCGTTCGCCGCATGTATGGACTTTTTTATCTCCTTATTTTGGTTTTCATTGTTTATTCCCAAATCCCTTAATTGACTGGTTATAGTATCATTGGACTCCCTTTCCTTCACTTGGGCTTCATTCAGCATTCCATTTGTGTCCTCCATGGATTCCTCCAGCCTTCTTCTTGTGGATTCCATGATTGCCTGATGATCATGAGTGGGAGTTGAGATACCTGGACTTGCCATTTTTCTTGTGTTTCTCTGGCTTGTTCTGCCCATTTGGGTATGAAGGCAAAACCAATTCCAAGCTAGAACCCTATTTGAAGGCAAGCATCAACCAGAGCCCTGTATTTGCACAGATTTTTTGATACAGTCATAATGAATACAGATAGAATCTAGTTCAACAGATAAAATCTAGTTTGATAATAAACAACTATGGATCAATGGACTAAGAAAATCAAAGAAGGAAACAGAAGAGCAGACCTTAATAGGTTTAGGGAGAATTGTGAGGAAAAAATAAGATTAGAGGAATGGGGGGAGGGAAAGGGAGAAAGGGTATACAACCAAGGCCTGAATTCAGAGAGAGGAAAAGAATAGAAGGAAAAGAGAAAAGAGATAAAGAAAAAAGATAAAATGAAAAATAAAAATTTTAAATGAAACACTTAAAATTATATAAGTATAAAGAAGTAGTACTACAATTAAAGGAGTTAAGGCTAAGAGTTTGTGAATTGAGTAATTGATATCTGAATTAAATATGCCTACAATGAAGAATAAGGTCTAATCATGGCAGACGGGTATATATCTGGGGATGAACAAAACAACAACTAAATAATGACAAAAAAAAAAAAAACAAAAACCAGAAAGGACATGAAGAGAAAAGAGTAAAAATAGAATTAAGAAAAACACACATCTAAAATAAAAATGATGAAAAAAACAAAAGAAAATTTATTTTTAAAATTAGGTAGGAAAAAAGAGTTTGATTTTTTTTTGTGGTGGGAGGGCAGGAAATCTTGTGTGTCTGCTGTGTCCATAACCAGTCTCTTATGCAGTCTCTGGTTTGCTTCTGGTATTTGCTTTTCCTGTGGCTTGATTAGTTTCTTAAATCAATTTGTTTAAGTAGGAAGAACAAAGCTCTGTCTTACCAGGGACTTTATTACCTTCCTCCCAGTTTAGTTCATTGGGAGGGAGATCTGCTTTGGATATCACAAAAGAGGGAGATCGCTGCTTTCTCTAGCTTGGAGTTGCTGTGATGGGGCTAGGTTGTGGGTAGGGTTAAGGCTTGTCAGTAATCAGCTTTTCTCTGAGGAGCTAGCTCCTGAGAGACTCAAGAAGCCCAGCCTGGAGCCATTCTCGAGATTTATGTTTAATGAGTTTCAATTGGTTTTCTTTTACCTCTCCTGCAACTGGGTCTGCTGCCTGTGCTTCAGTGGGGAGGGGCAGCCTCTGACTCTGTTTACCCAGTGAACAATGTCACTTCTCCATGGGCAGAAGTTCCTCTGCCTGGGAAGGGCATCTTTCCCATTGGTGGAGCTCAGCCCTGCAGGTCTGATTCCTTTGACCTATTGAATGGCTCCTGTTATCTTCTTCCAAGGCCTGAGTTATGTGCTAGCTGCTCTGGCCAGGTCTTTATCAAAAATGGAGTTCTTCTCCAGTGGTGGGGGAGGGGCTACCTTCCCACCGCTGCTCCCTGAGGAGTGAGGATGTACTCATGCCTTTCCTGTGGTTTCCAGGATGTCCACAGACTAGGACTGTTTGTGCTCATCAGGATGAAAATTTCTGTTCCTTGGCAGTGCTCTCTGTGCTGGCAGTGAGTAGAATCTGCTCAAACACGGCCTCTGATGCCTTTGTTCTGGGCTCTGTCGATATGATGGCCACAGGTGCCGCCAACACTGTGGACACCTATAAGTGCTCAAATTGGTCTCTTTCGCCTCGCTGCCTGAATTTTTCCTCTCTGGCCAGACTCTCTGTACTATACTGGCATACTTGGTGTCACTCTCCAGCCTTGGACATTTCACTGGAACACTGAAACTACTTCCTATGTGAGAGCTTGTTTAGCCACTAGCTTCTCCTCTGCCATCTTCCTCCAGACTCTCTACATTCTTTTTTGGGGGGGAGGTTTCTGGGGCTTGAACTCAGGGCCTGAGATCTAACTCTGAGCCTCTATGTGCTCAAGGCTGGTTCCCTATCACTTGAGCCACATCATCACTTCTGACTTTTTCTATTTATGTGTGGTACTGAGGAATCAAATCCAGGGCTTCATGAATCCTAGGCAAGTACTCTATTTCTAAACCACATTCCCAGCCATGATTATTAGCTTTATCAGTCTTTTCACTCAACAATCTGTGTTCTTTATTAGAGATGCTAATGGTAGAGAACTTACCTTGAGCAAAAGAGCTAAGGAACAGTGTTAGGTCCTGAATTGAAGCCCCCAAACAAGAACAACAACAACAAAATGAGGGGAGACATTGTCTAAAAACATGTAATCATTACCCGACTTACGTAACTGTAACCCCTCTATGCATCACCTTATCATAATAATTTAAAATATTTAATAAGCAAGTGAGAAATCTACCACATTTCTGCCTATCAGGAACGAAAAATTGAAAAACAAATTTAAAGTGCAATACTTCTTGAACAGAAGGCGTGGCTCACGTGGTACAGCTCCAGCCTTGAGCACAAGGATCAACTGAGAGCACAAGGCCCTGAGATCAAACCCCAGGACCAGCAGACACACACACACACACACACACACACACACACACACACACACACATATGCACACACACACACATGCACACACACACACACACACACGCACACACACACACATGCACACACACACATGCACACACACACATGCACACACACACACGCACACACACACATGCACACACACACATGCACACACACACATACATGCACACACACATGCACACACACACATGCACACACACATGCACACACACACACACGCACACACACACATGCACACACACACATACACATGCACACATGCACACACACACAGGGGCAGGTGGAAGATATGGTCCAAATCCAGGGTGGACCTCATGTTATAGCAGGTAAGTCCATGAGACTCTTATCTCCATTAACTACCAAGCAGCTAGAAGTGGAGCTGGGGCTCAAATGGTGGAGGTCTAGCCTTGCACACAAAGGCTCAGGGTCGGCCTCCTAGGCTGCAATCCCTAGGAAACACATACACACATCCCAATAATACACCACCACCACCAGCACCAGGCACTAATTTGTGAGCTGGAGGTTCATGCCTGCGATCCTACCTCCCCAGAAGGCTGAAATGTGGAGGGTCCCCATTCAAAGCAAACCAAGGCAGAGAAGTTCTCCAAACTCCACCTCTAGCTAACCAGCCAAAGGTTGGACTGGAGTTCTGACTCAAATCCAGTAGAAAAGCAGCCTTGATCCAGAATGTGGAGAAAGAGTGGGTGGCTTTGAATTCAAACCCCAGTAAAAACCCCTAGATCCTGCAGTGGTCGTATGAAGTGATAAGAAAGAGGAAGAGAGGCTGGTGAAGAGAAATGTTTCCTAGGCCACAGTCACGCAGTCCTGCCCGAGATCCCCGACGAGCAGTTTATCAGCTTGGCTCTTTAGCAACATTCAGGCTGGTGAAGCAAGACTTCTGCTAATGATCACCAAGAGTCCACTTCCACATTCTGTCCAGCGTTCAACGCTCAGCTCTCTCTTCACTCAACAACAACATTTCATTCCACCTGCTTTCCACGTTCCTCCATGTCTGAAGAAGTCACTTCTGCCAGTCTAATCTTCCATGACTCCGGGAAGAGAGAGAAGATCCCGGAGTTTGACACCATGGAGACAAAAGGTAAGCCTGTGGAACTCTGAGCGTGTAGCGATGTCGGTAGTGAAAACGAGACTTACATCTTGGGACACATGGACTGGATAAGTTAGTATTCAATTCCAATCACCAATGACCTCCCCAAATGCTTCTATCTTCTGTTGCAAGTCCTGGCTTTGTGAAATTGCACAACGATCCACCATTTATTAATGTTCTACCTTTTAATATTACAATCAAGATACACGATAGCTTTTTGAAATTATACAAAGTGTTTCATTTCTGTGGCAAACATGGTAGGTTGTACAGGAAAGCTGTCTTTCAATGTATTTTGTTCTTTTACTTTTCATTTTATTTGTGTAAGAGAGAAACTAGAGGGATTCTGGAAAGATTGGAAGAGAGAGACAGAGGCAGGGACACAGACAAAGATGGACAGAGAGACAGAAACTGAGGCAGAGAGAGACACAGACAGAAAAAGAGTCAGTATAGACAGGAACAGAGAAGGAGAGACAGAGGGACATACAGACAGAGACATCCAAAGAGAGATGGACAGAGGGTCTCAGAGGCAGACAGACAGAGGGACAGAGACAGAGAGACAGGGAGAAAGAGACGCAGAGAGATGTGACATTTCAGCCCCTGCAGTGTTCTGTGCAGCGCTGATTCTTGTTACTCACGCATGTCAGAACCGGGGCTTGTACGCAAGCGCTAGAGCTCTCACTTGAGATTTGCTCGAGGCTGGCGCTCTACCACTGGATCCACAGCTCCATCTCCACCATTTTGCTGGTTCATTGGAAATACAAAGTCTCATGAACCTTCCTGTCCGGCTGGCTCTGTATCACGATCCTCAGATCTCAGCCTCCCGAGTGGCTGATGACCGGCATCAGCTACCGGTGCCTGGCCTAAAGCAACTCCTGCATCTCTAATTTCAACATAAGCTAAAATCTTGACCCTGTTCTCTTCAGAGAAGGTCATTTTCTTCCATCTGAAGATATTTAAGGTCCTGTGTTTATTGTTCAGTTCTCTCTAGTTATATACTCAATTCGGCATCAGCTGTGGTATGAGGTGGAGCTCCTCTGTTTCAGTCCTGCGGTTAGACTGTCATGTTTTAAACTAGAAGACATTTATTTGAAATAGCCGTTATATATCCACATGGATGTATCCACATGGATGAGAGCTCATATTCTGTAATGATTTAAGAATAAGTCATCTTGGGCTGGGCAGGTGGCTCAGGGGCAGAGTGCTCACCTAGCACACATGAGGCCCTGGGTTCAATTCCTCAGTGCCTCATAAACAGAAAAAGCTAGAAGTGGAGCTGTGGCTCAAAAGGTAGAGCACTAGCCTTGAGTAAAAGAAGCTCAGGGACAGCACCCAAGCTCTGAGTTCAAGACCCAGGACTTGAAAGTAGAAGAAAAGTTCACCGGGTGCCAGTGGCTCATGCCTGTAATTTAGTGACTCAGGAGGCTGAAATCTGAGGATCATGATTCTCAGCCAACTTAGGGCAGCAAAGTCGGGGAGTCTCATGTCCAGTGAACCACCCGAAGGCTGGAGGTAGAGCTGAGACTCCAGAGGGCAAAGACCAGCGCTAAGCACAGAACTTTTGGGGACGGCACCGGGTCTGGAGTTCAAGCCCGAGCTCTGGCACAAAACCAGCCAAGCAACAAAGCAAAACAGAAGCATGAGCGCCAGGCTTCCGGTGCTTTTGTTTCCTTCCTCATTCTTTGTGGTCAGGCTCAGTATTGAACTCAGGGCCTGGGCGCTGTCTCTGAGCTCGGAGCTCAAGGCTGGCGCTCTTCCACATGAGCCACAGCGCCACTTCTGGTTTTTTCTGGTGGTTCATTGGAGATAAGAGGTTCATGGTCTTTCCTGCCCAGGCTGGCTTTGAACCATGATCCTCAGTTCTCAGCCTCCTGAATGGCTGGGATTAAAGGCGTGAACAGCTAAGTCCTGGCTGCTTTCTTTACTCCTGTATCTTTCAGGAGTTGTACAAAGGGTTTCAATTCACCAGGTCATGTTATGAGCACAATGCCGATCGGCCAGGGATTTGTTTTTCGTGTCTCAGAGTGGGTAACACATTAAATTCTTTTACAGGCTGCATAGCAGGAAGGAATGGAAGGGGAAATGGAGGAATGAATGGCCTTGTACGGATGAGTGGAAGGGAGCGCCGTTTTGAGAACGCTGTTGCTTTTGTGTTCCACAGCGAATCGGGCTCCTCCTTCCCACGCGTGGGTCAGAACAGCGTTGCGTGCGACTCTCCTGCTCCTCCTCCTGCTCTTCATTGGACTGAGAATCTTGTGGATCATGAGTATGTATCACCCTTTTGTCTATGCTACTGGGACTGGGGCTTGAACTCAGGTCCTGGGCGCTGTCCCTGAGCTTCCCACTCAAGACTAGCGCTCTACCGCTTGAGCCACAGCTCCACTTCTGACTTTTTGCTGGTTCGTTGGAGATGAGGGTGTCAGGGACTTTCCTGCCCAGGCTGGCTTCCAACTGTGCTCCTCAGATCTCAGCCTCCTGAGCGGCTGGGATGACAGGCGGGAGCCACTGTCCCCTGGCTCAGAGCCTAGCGCTCCTGCCCAGCTGTTGGTCTCACAGTTGGTGTTCTACCACGTGAGCCACGCCTCCTGCTCCCCTTGAGTCTTTTTTAGTATTCTTTGTGAAGGTTTTCATGTGTCTTTTATAATTCTCTTTCTCTCTGTCTGGATTTGAGTTTATAAACAGCAAAATGTCCAAGAAGAACTTCAGAGAAACATGTGCCTACACCAAATGGGGAATGTCAACAGTTCTGAGAACATCCAGAACCTCAATGAGAAGATCCAGAACCAATCTATCACATTGCAAACGCTGGCCACCAGGCTGTGTCGTGAGCTACAGGAAAAAGAGCCAGGTAATTCTGTAATATCCTGAGGGCTGCTTATGAGACCAAGATCTAAAGCTACAGTGTGTGTGTGTGTGTGTGTGTGTGTGTGTGTGTGTGTGTGTGTGTGTGTGCTACAGTGTGTGTGTGTGTGTGTGTGTGTCTGTCTGTCTGTCTGTCTGGGGGGGGATGCATTGGAGGAGGGTTGGTGCTGGGGTTTATACTCAGGGTCTGGGCTGTGTCCCTTGGCTTTTTTGCTCTTGGCTGCATGGAGCTTAGTCAGTTGAGCCACAGCACCATGTCTGGCTTTGGCTTCATAATATAGGATACGAGTCTCATGGATTTTCCTGCCCAGGCTGGCTTCAACCCCTAATCCTCAGATGTTAGCCTCCTGAGCAGCTGGGATTACAGCGTGTATCACCGCTGCCCAGCTAGAACCACTGAGTAAGAAAGGAATGAAGCATAGTCCATGCATCGACAGTTCCACATAGTTAGAAGAAAATCAGAAAATCATAACCACACACCATGGAGTCCCCCAGGTGTCCTGGTTATACAAGAGCATTCAGACTAACTGCGTTTTCTTTAAACTCCAGTTTTACTAAAGCATAAATATACAATTTCTCTCATCTGAATTTACCTATTAAATTTTTGCATTGTTATTTTCAAGGTTATGCAAAGTCTCAATTTATTATGAAGCTCAGTGAATGATAGATAGGAAAACACACTTCTCTAGATGGCCTCAGTTCAGAATTTCAGTCAGGTCAAGGCTCCCTCAGGAAGGTGGGGAAGCAGGACAAATAAATACCTCTGCTTTTTTTTCTAAAAAAAAAAAAAAAACCAAAAAAAAAATTTCAGTCAGTAGAAGCCGGGCGCTGGTGGCTCACGCCTGTCATCCTAAGCTACTGAAGAGGCTGAGTTCTGAGGATCATGGTTCAAAGCCAACCATGCAGGAAAGTCTGTGAAATTCTTCTCTCCAGTGAACCAGCCGAAATACAGAAGTGGGGTTGTGGTTCTAATGGTAGAGGATCAGCTTTGAGTGAAAAAGGTAAAGAAGAGCAGGAGATCCTGAGTTCAAGCCCCAGAACTGGTTCAAAACAAACTTAAATATTACCAGATGAAAACACAGTGAACTTGGTCCATGTCCCATAGAGATGACAGGAAATGGCAAGAGGCTGAAGATCTATTCAATAAAAGGACGCTTTCCTTCCAGGGCACAAATGTAAACCTTGTCCACCAAACTGGCTGTGGCACGCAAATAGATGTTATCTTCCATATCATATTTATACCACGTGGCAAAAGAGTGAACAGTTCTGTGCTGACCGCAATGCCAGCCTGCTGAAGATTAACAACAAGGATACAGTGGTAGGTCTCCAAGTCTCTCCTCCCGTAAGAAAGGAAATCGCATTTCCTATGACAGAGTAAGAAGAGTCTGCTAAGCACTGGTGGCTCACGCCTGTCATCCATCTACCCAGGAGGCTGAGACCCAAGGACTGAGATTCAGAGCATCCTGTGCAGAAAGTCCATGAGACTCTGATTCCCAATGAACCACCAGAAAACTGGAGATGGCGCTGTGGCTCACGTGGTAGAGCACCAGCCTTGAGAAAAAGAAGCTCAGGGTTAGTGCCCAGGCCCTGAGTTCAAGATCCAGGAGTGGAAAGTTCTTTCATCCTTTCTAGAAGAAGGGAAATAATGTGTTGTGTCTTTCTCATTGGATCTTGCTCACCTGGTTCACTGACAGTTACTGACTCCACAAAATATAGTTCAGTGAGAAATGAGAACAAATTATGAGTTCTATGGCTTACAAAATGACCTGTTCTGACTTCAGTGCATTGCTTTGCTTTCCTTCCTACTTTCTTCCTTCCTTTCCTTCTTTCTTCCTTCCTTTCTCTGTCTTTCTTTCTTTCTTTTTGATTCCTTCCTTCCTTCCTATTACTTCCTTCCTTCCTTTCTTCTTTTTATATACCAGACCTGGGAATTGAACCCAGAACCTTGAGTACCACGTGAGCACACACATACACACATAGACATATACAGACACATAGACACACACACATAGACACACAGACACACATACACACAGACACACACATACACACAGACACACACAGACACACACATACACACAGTCACACACAGACACACACATACACACAGACACACACAGACACACAGACACACAGACACACAGACACACACAGACACACACAGACATATAGACACACACACAGACACACATATACACGCCACAGCTCCACTTCTGGTTTGTGTGTGGTTTTTGGTGGTTCCCGGAGATAAGAGTCTCATGGATTTCCCACCCTGGCTAGCTTTGAATCGAGATGCTCAGATCTCAGACTCCAGAGGAGCTAGAATTACAGGTGTGAGTCACTGGTACCAGCCAGACAAAACTTTGTACACAGAGCATCTTTGTTTCTTAGGAGTTTGTAAAACCCATACAATTATTTGGCTATTGGCTTGGAGCATCTCCTACACAAGATAGCACAAACTCTATGACAGTGGATCAGAGTGTTGCTTCTTCTATTTGGTAAGTTTCTATTTTTTCTCTTATTGTTTTAAGTCCATTTCCTTTAAGCTGTGTTTTCCGCAGGACGATTGTAGACTGGTGACATACCCTTACACGCACCTGCTGGGTCAGGCCTCTGTAATAGTTTTAATCATGCATAAAATGTTCCCATAGCCAGGGGCTGGTGGTCACGCCTGGAATCCCAGCTACTCAGGAAGCTGAGATCTGAGGATTCCGATTCAAAGCCAGCTCTGACGTAAAAGTCCATGAGACATTTATCTCAATTAACTACCACAAAAATGCTACAAGTGGAGCCGAGGCTCAAGTGGTAGAGCCCTAGCCTTCAGCAAAAGTCCTGCTCTAGTGTCCAGGCCCCAACTTCAACACCCAGTACAAATGCACACATAGCAATCACAGACGCCCTGATTTTGTCAAGTCATCATGCAGACTTTCTTTTCTTTCTATGGCTTTCTCGGGGCTTGACCGCAGGGCCTGGTGCTGTCCTAGGCTTTTTATCTCCAGGCTAGTGCTCTACCACGGGAGCCACAGCGCCACGTCTGACTTCTTGGCTTGATTTCATTAGATGTAAAAGTCTCACGGCCTCTCCTGCCTGGGTGACTTTGAACCCAGGTCCTCAGGTCTCAGTTCCCTGAGTAACACAGAAGCTCAGGACGACGCCATCCTAAGAGTCAACGGGGGTATGGGGGGAAGGATGAGGGGTGAGATGATCCGCATGCATGACGTCAGAGCCTGACAGGCTGAAGGGAAATCCCCTGCACCACCAAGGATCTTATTTTCCTTAGGAAATGCCGACTGTGGGCGCCATACTGTCAGGAAGCACAGGTCATGTGTGTGTGTCTACTTCAAATATGTGAGCTCTTAAGTACTTTCCTGCTTTTCCTCTTCAGGTTGAAGAACAAGCCCAGTGCCTTCAATGGAATGTATTGTGCACATATGACATCAAACATGCGCATTGCTTATGATGATTGTTTGGGACTCAGATATGCAATCTGTGAGAAAATGGCTGGTCCAGTGCGGGTAGAAAGTGTGCTAGGTTAAAGTTCACGATGAAAGGCTGTACTTGGTAAAGAAGTCCTTGGCTTGAGATGCTGTCCTGCACTGGGAAGGATCTAGAAGTCAGCATGTGTCTCCTGGATCACACAAATGGAATAAAAAAACGATGACCAGATTTCTGCCTCTCTGCACATTTGGATCTTCTGGTATTTATCTTGCTCCTCATCTGCTGAGGGTAGGAAGCTAACTCCTTGCCAGGCACCAGTGGCTCACTCCTGTAATCCCAGCGACTCAGGAGGCTGAGATGTGAGGGTGAAGGTTCCAGGTCAGTCCCCGTAGGACAGGTGGTGAGGATCTGATGTCCAATGAACCAGCAAACAGGAGCTCAGGAGCTAGGCCCTGAGTTCAAGCCCCAGAACCTGCACATACAAAAGCAGGTCAGTCATGGCTGAACCTTGAACAGCAGTGCATCTTCTGTTCAGCCTCAGGACAGCGTTTCTTCTGAAATCTAGAATTGTCTTCCGCTGTATTTATTGTCGGTGGCCGTGGGGCATGAACTCAGGGCCTGGGCGCTGTCCCTGAGCTCTGTCACTCACGGCTGGCGCTCTGCCACGTTGAGCCACAGCGCCATTTCTGATCTGAGGTGGTTCATGGGAGGTCAGAGTCTCATGGACTTTCCTGTCCAGGCTGGCCTCCAACCCTGATCCTCAGATCTCAGCCTCCTGAGTGGCTGAAGTAGTTGTGCATAGGGTCATGTGAGTTCATGCATCTTGATCAGGGGATTTTATTTTCCTGTCCTACAGTGTGTCACAAATTACATTTGTACAGGTTGCATAGTAGGAAGGAAATAAAGGCACATTGAATGAATGAATGAATGTATGACATTCTGTAGTTAACTGAACTTCACGCTGTTTAAGAAGGCTTTATTGCCTTTGTATTGCACAGTGTCTCCGGTGACTTCCATTTATGGGTTAAAGAAGCATTGTATGTCTCTCCTCTTCCTTCTACCAGTCTTCACTGGACTAAGAATCTTGTAGATCATGGGTGCATATCACCCTTTGTGTGTGTGCTACAGGGCCTGGGCACTGTCCTGGAACTTTCTCACTCAAAGCTGGCACTCTACCACCTGAGCTACACCTCCACGTCCTGTTTTCTGGTGGTTCACTGGAGATCAGAGTCTCATGGACTTTCCTGTCCAGGCTGGCCTCCAGCCCTGATCCTCAGATCTCAGCCTCCTGAGAGGCTGGGATGACAGGCGTGAGTCACTGCACTTGACTCGGACCCTAGTGCTCCTGTCAGCTCTGTTCCTTCACAGTTTGTGTTCTATCATGTAAGCCGCGCCTCCGGTTCCCCTTGGGTCTTTTTTAGTATTCCTTGTACCAAACAGCTTTGACGGTCATGACGTTGAAGGCTTACAGGTGTCTTTGGGATTCTCTCTCTCTGTCTTGATTTGAGTTTATAAGCAGCAAAATTTCCAAGAAGGACTTCAGAGACATGTGTGCCGACACCAAATGGGTAAACGAAATCGTTCAGAGAAGATCCAGAACCTCTGTCCTATGGCAAACACCACCAGGCAGGGTTATCTCCAAACAACCACCGGAAAACCAGAAATGGAGCTGTGACCCAACGTGGTGGAGCGCTAACCTTGAGCCAAAGAGCTCAGGGACAGCGCCCGAGCCCTGAGTTCAGGATACAGGACCAGCACACACACACACACACACACACACACACACACACACACACACACACACAGACACACACACACAGACACACACACACATACGACACACACACACACAGACACACACACAGACACACAGACACACACACCACACACACACACATACCACACACACACACACAGACACACAGACACATACACCACACACACACACACCACACACACACAGACACACACCACACACACACACCACACACACACACTCACACACACACACCACACACACACACACACCACACACACAGACACACACACCACACACACACCACACACACACTCACACACACACACTCACACACACACAGACACACACGAAGTGGAAGGCTTTGAAGAAGACTTGTATCGAGTCACTACTATCCCCCCTCCCCTCTCTTCCCCCTCCTCTTCCCTGTCTTCTCCTCTCTTTCTTCTTTTCTCTCCTTCCTACCTTCTTTCTTTCCTTCCCTCCTTCCTTCCATCCTTGCTTCCTCTCTCTTTCTTTCTTGCCTTTCTTTGACTCTTTCTTTCTCCTTTTCTTTAGTTTTCTTCCTTCCTTCCTTTCATTCTTTCTTTCTTTCTCTCCTTTCTTTCTTCCTTTCCTTTTTTCTTTCTCTCCTTTCTGTCTGTCTGTCTTTGCATCCGTCTTCCTTTCCAGTAGTGGGTCTTGGACTAGCAGTGTCCCCAGTTCAGTTGGCTTTTTTATTCAAGGCTGCAACCAAAGCATCTGGAGCCAGGTTGAGCCTTCTGTGCCTGGCCTCACCCTCCCAAGACAGATCAATGAACAAACAAGATGAAAAGACAACGCCAACATCCACACAGAAATGAGGCTCTTGTTTCCGTTCTGCAGTTCATGTGGGCAAATGTGATGGTGTGTGTCAGAGGCGCGCGGGCCGGCGCCTTTGGGATCCTCTCCTAAGAGCCCCCTGTGCTGTCTGTGTGCCGTGTCAGGTCCTGGCCAGGTGCCGCTTATTTCTGATCTAGCTTCCACACAGGAGAGAATACAGGTGCCATCTGAGCCGGTGACCTTACTTACATGATTTGTTCTAACTCCATCCATTTCCTTGCAAATGACATAATACCATTCTCTCTGATGCCTGTGGGACGTCCCACGGTGTAGGGACGCCACATTTTTGCATGCACTCTTCTGCTGTAGGGATCTCAGCGTGTTGAGCAGCTAAGGTTACAGGCCCGGCCCTGGTGTCCCTGAATTCTGGCTTCATTTCATTCAGATAGGTGTGATTGGAACTCAGTACAGTAATCTCAGGAAACCGCAGCCACACAAGCTTGGTTTAGTAAACGCAGAGAGGCTGCTGGGAAGGTAGAATCTTCAGTGTGTGAGAACTTCCCTGTTGGAACTGGGATCCAATTTGAGGGGGGACCCTCAAACATTTATGAAAACACAAAGATCCTGGAAATCGTTTCTGAAGACTACCAACTTCATAAAAGAACCACCAAGGTACACTTTCTCTCTATGACTACACTTTTCATTAAGTAAGAGGAAAACGTCAACTTAGAGTAAGTTGAATAAAGGATGTGTAGATAAGTCGATGTAAGCAAATGTCAGGCAGATAGACGGCACTAAGCTCTTAGACATAATAGTAATAACATCTCTGATAACTGTTGTTTCTTTTTTTCCAAGTCAAGCGACTTCATAGCTCACCCATTAGTACTTCTGGTCTCTCAGCAATCAAGCATTCTTTGGCAAAATTACGTTTGTTTTAAAGCTGCAGCTCCCAGCCAGGCACTGGTAGCTCACTTCTGTCATCCAGCTACTCAGGAGCCTGAGATCTGAGGGCCATGGTTCGAAGCCACCCCGGGCAGGAAAGTCTGTGAGACTCTGATCTCCAGTGAACCACTCTCAGCACTGTGGCTGAAGTGGGAGTTCACTGGTGTTGAGGAAAAGCAGCTCAGGGGCAGCGCCCAAGCCCCGAGTTCAAGCCCCAGCACCGGAAGCTCTGCCACCCTTTCTAGAAGAGGTGAAATCCGCTATGTCTTTCGCATTGGCCTTTCTCACATGGTCACTGATGGTTACTGACTCCACAAGATACAGGGAGGAGAAATAAGAACCAAACGTGTTCTTTGGGTTATGAAATTTTGGGTTATTTCCAAGATCCCTCTTACACTGACCTGATTTTACTAGATTGCTTTCCTTCTTTTCTCTCCTTCCCTTCCTTCCTTCCTTCCTTCCTTCCTTCCTTCCTTCCTTCCTTCCTTCCTTCCTTCCTTCCTTCCTTCCTTCCTTCCTTCTTTCCTTCCTTCCTTCCTTCCTTCCTTCCTTCCTTCCTTCCTTCCTCCCCCCCCTCTCTCTCCTTCCTTCCTATCTTTTTCCTTCTGAACTGGTGGTATGGGGTAAGGAATGGTTCACATGCAGCCCTAAGGGAAAGCTTAAGGACTTCCTGTGATGGCTCGGCACCTGTTAAGATCGAGGGATGTTACTGTCTAAAGTTCCGTTACCAACTCCCTACGCAGATGGGGAAGTGGTGGAGGCGACCTCCCCAACAAAACCTCAGGCGAGGTGATGCTCTGTTCATAAGGATGCACCCAGCCCCGAGCAGGGCGAAGGGAGAGGCCCGCCCACCCTTCCCCGGTCTCTGATTCATTCTTCCCCCCTGTCCTGGGCTCTGGGGGCGGATCATTATCTGGCCTACAACCAGGGGTAAGCCGAACCTAGGCATTAGTTCTTCTAGGAGTTTCTTGGCCACTGCCATCGCCGTTTCTGTCTTTGTCAGGAAACCTTCCGCCCATCCTGACGATGTGTCCACAAAACCCAACAAGCACGTGCGCCCACACCGGCCTGGCTTAACCTGGGGAAAGCCCACTGCCCAGTGCCTGGCTCTGCTCCTCTCTCTCTCTGACTCCCATCAGCACAGGATGGCTTAGTGCGTTGGCATGCCACACAGCGAGCCGCCCAGGCCTGGGCAAGCCGGTCCACCGGTGGAATAAAGAGCCGTTTGCAGAGACGTTCGGTTGGTCGCGTGCTGAGCTGGTGGATCGGCGTCTCCTTATCGCTTGGGGTTCGTGTGTTCTTCACGCCCTGCAGGTCTTCTGGTGAGTCCGTCGGTGTTTCAGGCAGTGCGGGTCCAGGCATGAGGGCCAGAACACGGGTCCCTTCCACGGTGACCCTGCAGACCTCCTGGCAGCTCTCCTACCTGCAGTTGCTTGGATGAGAGGCTTCTGTCTGAGCACGGCAGCATGGCAGGGGGTGAAGGGCTGTGGTTTGATCCTGGGCTGCTTGAGAAGTATGGCCCCGTGCCGGGTTATTCGAGCATCTCAAGCACCTCTCTGGGGGACCACGCGGCGGGGATCTCGAGTGCGTGTGTGGCTGGATCCTCCCCGGGTCCCCGGGGCAGTCAGCGTTACCTCTGGGTCAGTTGTACGGATGACGCCAAGACCCCAGCCAAGGGCATCATCAAGGAGAGCAGGTGAACTTTTGAAGCCTTGGGGCATCTGAGTCCAAGTGAGCTGTCCACCCACACCCCGGGGTCCCTGGCGCCCCACTCCAAAGGGAAGACGGGTTG